TTCCTAGGGCTGAGAGAGAGGGACTGGCCCAAGGTCACCCAGCTGGCTTTGTGCCTCAGGCGGGACTACAACTCACGGCCTCTTGTTTCCTAGCCTGATGCCTTAACCACTACACCAAACTGCCTCATCGTAGGGCACTAGTGATCTAAAAACAATCCCTGAATCAGAAAAAGGGATAGATGGCTCATTATAAAGTCAAAAATGTAAAGCTGAAATTACTTGAGAAAGCTGTAACACATCTAATCATAGAGTTCTGAATTTCTTTGCATACATAGAATTACTAAGAATATGGGGATATAGGTAAGAGTCTCAACTTACAGAATTTTTACTGTCAAACATTATATATAAAGTTTAAAATCGTGTTTACCTGTAAAGCTTTTAAGAATTCTTCAGAACATCTTTCCAGATCTGTAATTCTTACAGCCACCAATGTTCCTGTAGGGATATGACGGGCGAGGTAGATTGAAGTTAAGTTGTTGCATCCCTTTCCTATAAAGAAACAGGAATATATCACTTAACTTTCTTATTAATTAATTAAGAATCTTTGGGAATGCGTAATATGCAAATAATGTAAATAAATAAATAAAATTGGTGTCTTATTATTCTATCAACTAGCATTCAAAAATCTTAACAATGATGAAAAAGAACACCTTTCAAAGCAAGCATAATGAAATAACTGACTTGAATCAGAAGACAACAAATCTTATTATTCTGAAAGCTATTTCCTTCATCTAGTTGAAAGAATCTAACACAGTCTTAAAAAGATTACAGATAGTCCTCACTTAGCAACCACAACTGGGACAGGCAACTCCATTGCTAAGCAACATAGTTGTAAAGCGAAACATCACATGGCCATGCCCAACTTACTATGTCAGCTTCGCTGCGGTTAAGCAAATCAGCTGCAGTTGCAACTTCCTGCCAGCTTCCCCATTGACTTTGCTTGTCAGAAGCCAGCTGTGAAGGTCACAGATAGTGATCATGTGACCGTTGCAACAATTGTAAATACGCACTGGTTGTAAAGACCCAAATTGTGATCACATGACTGTAGGAATGCTACAATGGCTGGAAGTTTGAGGACCGGTCATAAATCTACTTTTTCAGCACTGTTGTAAGTTTGAATGGTTGCTGAACAAGGCAGTCATTAACCAAGGACTACCTGTATTATACTCAGGTCACTATCAAATGATAGTCCCCAGAGTGCAATTTACAAATTTACAAAGTATTCAGAACAGACCAGTGAACATTGTTACAGTATATTAAGTATCTTTAAGACAATAGTGTATGAAAAAATGAAATAAGAATTGAAATTGGTGATTTAATAGGGACACCAATTGAAGTTCATTTGAAATACATCTTAAGCAGCTCATTAGCATAACAGATATCTTCATACCAATTACTAGCATTGTGTGCCAATAACATACAAAGATGCTTCTATAACACCATCATGAAGGGGCAGTATTCCCATCTTCTTATACCTCATGTAGGATCTGAGGCAATGAAGAAGAATGCAAACATACACTTTCTTCTGGTTAAGAAAAGGGGTGATGGATTTTGCAGCTGAAAAACAACTAGACATGCACATTGCCACAAAGTAAGTTATCCTTTATAGCATCGAAGCTACCATGGATAAAAAAAATGCCTCACCAATACCACAATTAAAGGCAAGACAAGAAGTTAAATGGGAATAGAGTGTAAAATACAAGCAAGCATTAATAAAGATAAAATGAATGTATACATCAGACCTATTGGCAGGGGGTGGCAAAGGGTGAAATTTCTAGTCCATAACTTCAGTTCAGGTATATATTAAAGATCTTTCACTTAAACAAAATAAGAATATCTTTCAGGTCACAAAACAATCACCTATCTCCACCTGGAGATCATAGTGTGATACATCAGAGGACCACAGTATCTGTTCATCTCCTCTTTGAGTTGATTGGCCCCAACATACAGCAAGTTCATCTGTCTGAATAGCAAAAATATTTATTAACTTTTATTGTATAATATGGTGTAGTTTCACATAAACTTTGAAGATCTGCCAACATTCCAGTCTATGTATCATTTCAAAAGCACCACTTGGCTTTTCATTTTGCCTGGCTTTTGAAGGCAAGAGCTTCTTTAATCGGGATCTGATTTTTTTTTCTCAAGTTCAATGTATTTAATTTCTAAAGATTTAAAGCATCTACCCTATATAGTTGATCAGGTAAGGTACACCTTTCAGTCCATCAATCAATCCATGAAAAAGCCAGGCATTCATTTTCACTCAAGATATTATATAACATAAGTACATTAAAACCAAAATACTGAGAAACATATCCTATTAAAAAATGCTAACATATACTCCAGAGGACAAAAAATGTATTCACTATGTAATTCCAATTCTCTAATGGCATATAGGTAGTCCTTGCTTACTGACCATTCATTCAGTGACCGTTTGAAGTTGCAACAGTGCTGCATGAATGGTACTTGCGACTGGTCCTCAAGGTTCTGGCCGCTGCACCAACCCCCCAGTCATGAGATTGTAATCTGGGCACTTGGAAACCAGCTCACACTTACGATGGTTACAGTGCCCAGTGGTCACTTGACCATCATTTGCAACCTTCTCTGACAGCTTCCCACAAGCAAAGTCAATGGGGAAGCTGGGAGGGTAGGTCACGAGTCACTTAAGTCTCCCCCATCCAGCAGCAGCCACCCCCAGGCCCAAAATTGCTCTCGCGCGCAGCTACAACCACCCACACACACACCTCCACCCAGCAATAGCCACCCTTGGGCCTGAAATCACTCATATGCACCACTGCAGCCACCCCCCCCACCTGGCAGTAGCCACTTACCTGCCTGCTGGCCTGCTTGTGAGCCACCTGAGACTTACATCTTCCTGCCAGCTTCCCTACTGACTTAGGTTTTTGGAAGCAGGCAGGAAGTTGCGAGGAGGTCCTCTCTTAATGACCCGCGATTCTCACTTGATGATGGCAACGGGAACTGCCGGGATTGCAATCGTTAAGCGATGCAGTCACATGACATTGTGCTTTATGACCGCATTACTTAGCAATGGAAATTCCAGTCCCAATTACTATTGGTAAGCAAGGACTAGCTGTAATCCCTATACAGCAAAAGCGATGAGAGCAAGGTCCTCTGAATTAATTTATACAGCTGCACTGGATAAAACTTTAATGGCCTAACAGATTCTTGAAGGAACTCGCCCTTATTATTTCTTGCAATAAAATAGGCAATTCCTTGCAAGAATGAAGACAATAGGCATTTTAATTTGACATATATCAAAGTTAACATTATAATTTTATAATTATACATTTTATCAAGGATGTAGATATGATTGTGATAGGACACATGATACTGGTTCAGTTAAGGTAAGATAAATTTTCTCTTACCAAGTCTTGACTACTGATGCTTTCTGATTGCTTTTCTACTCTAATGGATTCAACTCGTGTCCGTAGAATACAGGAACAGTCCTAGAAAGAAATATGAAAGTAGAGAAATAAAGCCTTTAAAATGTAACTCACTAATCTCCATTCATCTGTTGTGATATGAAACTGCAACCTGTGCATAGTAATAATGAATTAACTTCAATACACAATAACAAATGAACCCTTTCCAAACAATGTGGCCAAATGAGTGGATTTGGGGACTTCTAAAGGTCCATTTTGAAAAATCATGATTAAGTCTGTTTTTTCAAAACTATGTATAGTTCTCCTAGGAAGAAATTTGCATACAGAGCTACATAAATGAGATAGATGTTGGACTTGGTCATCTAAGTGGCGCTTCTAATTCTTAATTTTATCGCTATAATTTTTAGTTTGGGATACTGTTCTACCTGCTAGATTTCAAAGATAAAAACAAATATGTGCTTACCAAACAAGACATGGAACTGCCTTAGTTCATGGAAAATATCATGCAAACCCATTTACCCTGAAATAAAACATTAAGATATTAAAGATTACAGTACATTCAAAATCCAGGTATCAACCAACCAAAGATGTCTCTTTTCCTCTTCGGACACAAATGTCTATAGAAATCCTCCAACATACAGTGTTCTGGATGGAATTAATGATCCCTAGCACAGCTCATCAAAAATATTTGAAATCATATTCAAGCATTATCAGAGTTATATCAGAAACCCTTTCAGGGCATTGTAATAAACAAAAGAATCAGAAGCAAAAATTGGACTTTATTCTCTTGTATGTGACCTGTACTAAGATTGATCCATTACATGTCTGAACCCAGTGCATGTGACCATGGCACAATGACTTAACCACATTTTGACCCATAGTTTGTAAAAGGTTTACAAAACTTAATTATGGCACCACATGTCTGAACTAGATGGGAGAAGGGACTTTAACTCAAGGGTACTTCTTCTCCTTTTAAATCTGAACATAGAAACTGGAGGTAGGTACATTTAGGTAGTAAAGAAATAATAACATTGAGAGGCAGTCAGCCCCCATCCCATCTAACACTGGTGCTGATAATGATCTGGCATTACATTTCTTTTTGCAAAAATGTAACACTCCCCCTCCCAAAAAAGTGTCAACTGGCAGCTAACCTTAACAAATGAAGCACTGTTCGTTGTGATTTGCCATATTGATTGGATAATTATATTCATGATTACAGGTCAACTTAAATTAGTATGTCATGCAAACAAACTTTTTGTTTGAGCAACCAGTTTGTTTTTAAAATGCATTATTTCCTTCTACACACATATTTTATAAAATAACATGTCCAGGAATGAACTCTGGGAAAATCATTTCCAAAATTCTTTGCATCAACTGACTTGTGTTTTCATCACACAGACAACACGGTAATACTCTCTTCAAAGAGGCCTGTAGCTCTTTTAATGGGTTTCCCTTTAAATAAAGATAAAAGAATACACTAGACTTTAAAAATAAGGCTTTAAAACTCAAGAGTTTGCATGCATGTCCCCAGGTCATCTTCTCCCAAAATTCTGCCTCCTCTAGTGCCAAAAATTTTCTGTAAGTTATTGTTTTAATACTAGCTAAGATGGGAGTGAATGAATAGGTAGAAAACATCAATTTATAAGAGAATTGAAGGGTTTTATAGAAAACATGATTTTTATTCTGGACATGCATACTTTCTATTTTGACTACAACCTACCCATATTGTCCCCAACACATTTTGCAAGATCACAGATTCTTCCATTAAAAAAAGGATTCTGTATCTATGCCTTGATGACTAACAGTTAAAATTATTATAAAAACTTTTCTCAATCTGTACTAAACCTCCTGTACTAAAGCAATAGCCAGGAATTATAGCCATCACTGGATTCCCTTTTGTGCTAGCTTTAACAAACTAGAATAGTGACCTGCCCCACTCCCCCAGAAATCCTCCCCCTTTTTTTTTAAAGGGAGGCAGCCTACCAGAAAATGGGGATGAAGGAAGGCAGGAGGAATAAGTCAGATCCTTATGGTCTGTATTCAAATCACTGAAATGTATTAGGAAGATGCAGGGGATAATCCAGTCCATAACAGATTTATTTTTATAAATTGCTCAAGGTGATGAACATACCTAATACTCCTTCC